CCACAAGCATTTGAATCCATGACATGGTAAGCATACGCTGAAATGAAATTGCAACTTAAGAAACAATTGGAACTAATACTTTGAAATTAGAAGTTTATCTTGACATTAATTATCTCTGAGTAAACTTTAAGCCAACGAAAGCTATCAGTATTCCAGTTAACAGATCGACAGATGCTCCTTTTAAGACAGTTATGTAGAAAGGATAATAGAGTGAAATAGTTCATTTGTATCCAAGTAATAGAGATAGAAGCTCGTAAAATGAAAAATATTTCCAATAAATATATTCATGATGAAAGATCTCAATATGAATATCTGATAGCCTTTTAGAAATTTATATCTCTAAACTTTGAAACAGGGTCGGATGTCAATTACAAGCATTATGTACTAGAATGAAAAGAAAAAAGAATGATCCATTTTTTTGTTGAATGCAGACATTTTTTTGTTGAATGCAGACACTAATGAAATCAACTCCAACATTTACTACCATTGAACCATTATATAGAAAAAAAAAGGAAAATAAAAGATTCTATAATTTTATTAGTGGCTTGAAGAAAAGTATTTACTAATTAATTGTACCTTAGCTTTGTCCTCAGAGCAGCCTCAGTAGATTATCAGGGTACATGATGCAGAGCAGGAACCCTAATTGTAATTCCAACATGTTCGCCACTGTTTTGTTGAATCCATCATCAATATCAGGGTAATACAAATAATATGAAGACATGACAACCAGTAGATGCTTGGAATAAACTGAATCGTTTATTTAAATGCACTAGCAATAGCCAAAACCTAAAATTCTTTCATATATTGTTATAAATAATATAATGTAAGGATTTTTCAAAATATATCTTTAGTTAGTAACACGTTAAATATAATGATTTAAGTTAATCAAAATTTGATGAGTTTGTTCTTTATTTAAAGTAATAACTTATTATAAATATACTTTGTCCAGTGTGCCAAATTGACGGTGAAGCAAAATATTGAAATAGAAGAATGAAAAAAAAATAAGGGTATGAAAGTAAAATAAAAATTTTCATCTAGATGTTTCATTTGTCTATTTTTCATTCCTTTTATACACAATTGAGATCAAACAGAGAGTTAAATTGTTAGTAAATGCACATTATTACGCTGCTTGTTTATAATAGGATTTTGTTGAATCTGCTATGGATTGCATTAACATTGATTGATCCTATCACATAGTTTTCAAGAGATAGAGAAGAAAATTTCAGACATGATATTAAAATGGGTACCATATATATTCACATTGAAAACTATACAAATTGTCCATAAGCATTGATGATTTCAGTTTCAGTGGTTTCTTTGGCTTTATTAATGTATGATAACAGTGCCTATCATAGGTTTGTTTGATGTTTTTAATGTTGTTTTGAAGCTAGAATAGGTCCACACAAGGTTTGGAAATGGTCATGTGCTCTTGCATCCCTCCCTAATATCTCTCTAGCAAACTTATTTAACCAAATGATGAAGTTATAGTAATATTAAGCAATGATGATAAGTTGAAATGGATAAACTTGCAGATACATGTAAGTTGTCTTACACAGCAGAACTATTCTTGAGGCAACCTCTATTTTGGAGTAGTCAAGTAAAAAATATATTCCAAATTATTAAAATTAGTGAATTTTAGCTTAATTTTGAAGTAAACTAAGCTTGAAAATGTTTGTTTTCAATTCTTGTCCTTTCTTCTGACAGATGCAGTGTCTATGTCAGAATCTCTTTTCTCTCTTGCCACGCACACACTTATTTGACTGTCCTCTTCACACTTTTCATACATGCACTCGACCCATTATGTAGCAGATTTGGTCTCATACAGGTTTTCATCTGCTACCATATAAAGAGTTATTATAGAATAAGAAACTATGAAGAAAAATAGTAAGAGAAGCAGGAGAGGATTTTGAAGAGAGGAAGCTACACTGGTATGGTATCACTATACGCTCTTCTTTTTATGTATTCTACTTCTCTTCTAATGTTACCATCTTTTGTTATCTTTACTAATGAACTTCTCATTCTTTTTTTCAACTTAACTTTCTCTCATTCTATTAAGTTTTGTCACAAACCTATCATAGATAGGATACAAATAGGTTTTATACATCTACAGTTTCATTAGTTTAAAGAATGAATTTTTTTTTGGAATTTTTTTCTATATTATAGTAATAATTAGAATATATATTGTTTTCTTAGGTTTTCTGGAATTTTAGTTGTTTGTGAATATAATAATAAATTAGTACATTATATTATCTGTTATTAGTGAATGCTTATGCACCTTATTGTTCATTATTATAACAGAAAGTTTGTGTTTCAAAAAGTAATTATTTTTGTAATAATTATTATGGTATAGATATCTACTTGTTAATTTTTATAAATTTTTTAGTGATTGATAAAATTAATTATTTGTTTAAAAACAAAAATATAATTAGTAAAAGAGTGAATATACAAATAATAGTTATAATATTTATTAGATATATTTATAAGATTGGAAGGGATAGAAAGATGCTTTGATAAACATAATTGTTTTATACAGTTTCTGAAGTCTTTTTCTTTGCTTCATTCTGTAGGTTCAATATTGTTTCTTTTATTTCTTAAAGTGGTTAATTCAGTGATTTAATTTTTATTATTGAGAAAGTAAATATTTAATTTAAGCTATATAAGATTAGTAATTTTAATATACATTAATGTTAATTTTTAAATGTCTAAATGAATTTTTAAACAATCAACTTAACAGCAAAAGTTTGTGAGATTTTAAAAAATGTGAAGCCCCTTGATCGTTAGCAAAATTTTGGTTTTTTTTTTCTATTTTATATTGTAAATTTTTAAGTTTATTGATTTTTATGTTTATTTAGTGAAAATAATAATTTTAAAATTTAAAATATAAAAAACAAAATCAAGATACAATATATTAAAGAAACCAACCAAAAAAATTATTCATAAAACTTTGATTCCATTAATACCAATACATGGGAACAATACTATGCAGATGTAAATATTATTTTTTATATTATTTAATTTAGAAATAAATATTTTAAAATTACATCAATTTTATTTAAGAATTAAAACAAATGTTTTTATGACAAGCATGATAGTATCTTCTATGCATAATTAACTATAGACTCAAATTATAGTAATAGTTTTTTTAATTTCCTTTTTGTGTCATGATTCTGATTACTACAACTTATTTATATTATTTAGAGCATGACTTGTTTTCCTTTCAAGATAAACACTGGGAGTGCACAAATTTAATTGAAATTTAAATTAAATTTTCTAACACATAAATTAAACTAATTATAAAGATCACATAAATGCTTTTAACCTCAACTTGCAACTTAATTACCCACCAATGTCTTGAAAAGAGGTCAACATAGGCTTTTGCAATTCATTCCAAGTTCAAATTTTGAATTGACATTATATACAAGTTGATGGAAGACAAAATAAAAATGTCTCCTTTGTTATTAATGAATGACATAGAAAATCAAGGTAATCCTGTGCAGAGATTATCTTTCCATTGAGTGGTGTTTTGATGGAAAACTATAACTCATACTAGTGATCCTTCTTCAGCAGCTTTTGTTAATAGTATTTGTAAGTTGTGAACCAATTAATGCAGACATGACTTCAACTGCACCAGTTCAAGATACTGGAAATACCCAAAAAAACATGGTTGACAAGCAGCAAGAGTCCAAGAAAAACAAAGTGAAGAATGAAGTCAATAAAACAGTTCCCTTTCACAAGCTATTCTCATTTGCACGTCCTTGGGATTGCTTTCTGATGCTTGTTGGGTCAATAAGTGCTGTTAGTACTGGAATCTCTTCATGTTTAATGGCTATACTTGTTGGAGGTATGATTGATGCTTTTGGAGGACATGCTGATGATAAACAAGTAGTTCATGAAGTATCTAAGGTAATGCTTAACCCCCTTAATGAATAATCAATGTTGTGAAATATCTATTGGAAAGCAAATATGTTAGGAAAAAAACAACAGAAAGATGTTGTAGGACTGAACAGAGAAAGCAGACAAATGAAAAAGAGAAAGAGCAAAATATTGATATGATAAATTTGAGTTTTGCACAAGTGTTGCAGAAAGATGCTTAAGAATACAAGTTATGAAAACTCTTTATTGGACACCACAAAAAGAAATGATAACAAATTTTAAAGAATTAAGGTTCATTAGCCTGCAGCTAACTTTATCTGAACACTCGCACATTAAAAACTTAGCTACATGCCATAGGAGATTGGCTTACATCATGACATGAATATGTGGTCATATGGACCATATAGCGATTTCAATTTAAATTGTCTCACATTTTTGTATAGATGGAATAAGTGCATAGACAGTGGACATCTGATTTTGCAAGAATTAAGATTGAAAGGAACAATTGGGATTTGAAAATTTCCTTATTTCCATGTCATAACCTCTGAAGTTTCTTTTCATCTTCAGGTGTCTCTGAAGCTTGCATCCATAGGTGCAGGTTCCTTTTTAGCAGCATCCTTGCGTAAGCATTATGCTTACTGTATAACTAGAAATATATATTTGCTAATTTACAAGAGTTACTTAATGACACGAGTGCAATTTTGCAGAGGTATCTTGCTGGGTGATCACTGGGGAGAGACAAGCTGCAAGAATAAGAGGCTTATACCTCAAAGCAATTTTGAGGCAAGATATCAGCTTCTTTGACAAGGAAACCAACAGTGGCGAGGTTGTTGGAAGGATGTCAGGGGACACAGTTCTTATTCAAGAAGCCATGGGAGAGAAGGTATCAATCAGCCACTCTTCAAATCCAAAATCATCACAATCTCATCAACCTATTATTAGAGTTAACTTTTTCGTTCTCTTTTCGGGTGATATCTCAGGTAGGAAAGTTCATACAGCATCTGTCATGTTTTTTAGGAGGCATAGTCATAGCCTTCGTCAAGGGTTGGCTTCTGAGCCTTGTCCTTCTATCTTCTCTTCCTCTTCTAGTCTTGTCTGGCTCCTTAATGAGCTTAGCTTATGCAAAGATGGCATCCAGAGGACAAGAAGCTTATTCTGAAGCAGCAACTGTAGTGGATAAGATAATTGGTTCAATTCGAACTGTATGCTAACATTCAGAATGTACTTTTCCATTGCTTTTATACCCATTTTGCAAGACAATAGTACATGAAATATATGCATTCCTCCCACGCAGGTTGCGTCATTTACTGGTGAGAAACAAGCTATAGCTCAATACAATCAATACTTAACTAAAGCTTACAGAATTGGAGTTCAAGAGGGTGTTGTGAGTGGTTTTGGCTTGGGTTTAATGCATTTATTTTCAATCTGTACTTACGGTTTGGCAACATGGTTTGGAGGGAAGATGGTACTGGATAAAGGTTACACAGGAGGACAAGTCATCTGTGTATTTTCATTAATATTGTCCGGTTCCTTGTAAGTTAGCTTCTGCTTTGCCATTACTTTTGTGGATGCATCAATCTATATCTTTCAACATCTTTTTCAAGCTTGAATGGCATATAATTATGATTTATTTTTCTGGGCTAATTTTATGTTTCAGTCGTCTGGGGCAAGTATCTCCAAGCTTAACTGCATTTGCTGCAGGCCAAGCTGCTGCCTTTAAAATGTTTGAAACAATAGAACGGCAGCCGGATATTGATGTTTGTGACACTGGTAGTCGACAGCCAGATGATATTTCCGGAAATATTGAACTTAGGGAGGTCTGCTTTAGTTATCCTTCCAGACCAGATGAATTGATATTCGATCGATTTTCCATTTCAATATCAAGTGGCACTACTGCAGCTTTGGTAGGGCAAAGTGGGAGTGGGAAATCAACAGTTATTAGTTTAATTGACAGATTTTATGATCCAAACGCTGGTGAAGTTCTCATTGATGGTATCAACCTCAGAGAATTTCAATTGAAGTGGATCAGACAGAAAATTGGCCTTGTCAGCCAGGAGCCAGTTCTTTTTACTTGCAGCATTAAAGAGAATATTGCCTATGGAAAGGATGGGGCAACAGATGAAGAAATCAGAGCTGCAGCTGAACTTGCAAATGCTTCTAATTTCATAGATAAACTACCTCACGTGTGCTCACGATTCATCAGTCATCTTTTGAAATTTTCTGTACTCTGTGAGAGGCACTTTATCTCATTAGTTTTGTGTAATTCTGTGTTTAGGGACTTGACACAAAGGTTGGCGAGCGTGGACTTCAGATCTCTGGAGGTCAAAAACAAAGAATATCTATAGCAAGAGCAGTACTGAAGGACCCAAGAATTCTGCTCCTTGATGAAGCCACAAGTGCTCTTGATGTAGAATCAGAGAGAGTGGTGCAGGAGACACTAGACAGAATTATGATCAACAGAACAACTGTCATTGTAGCCCATCGCTTAAGCACGATCAGGAATTCTGATATCATTGCAGTTATTCATCAAGGAAAACTACAAGAAAAAGGTATACATACTAATATATATTCTCTTGCCACCGAAGTGATACTCAGTATAACAGTATGTTTTCATGTCATTCTCTCCCCACACACATCTTCTTCAATTTCCTTCACATGTACATATGCTTCTCCCTTACATATTTTTCAACTGATTAGGTTCATATGCTGAACTTACTAATGATCCTGATGGAGCTTTTAGCCAGCTCATTAGATTGCAAGAAATTAGAAGCGAGTCAGAACAGCATAATGCAAACGACTCGGGCCGGCTAGAAAACTTAAAAGATTCTGAACAACAATTGAGCCAACAATTTTCTTTGCCTCTAGCATTCAGCCATCAATCATCTGGAAGAGAAAACAGAAGTCAGAACGCATTCAAAACGTCCAATGCCATGCCTATCACACCAGATCGCTTTCAAACACCAAAAGAATGGCCTGAAGTTCTTCCGTCGGCAACATTGCATAAGCCTCGAGAAGTTTCGTTTTTCCGCATTGCTTATCTTAACAAACCTGAAATCCCAGTGTTACTGATGGGGGCTCTGGCAGCTGCTGCAACTGGCGCAATACTACCCACCATGGGGTTTCTTCTTTCTCACTCGATAAGTACTTTCTTTGAGCCTGCAGATGAACTCCATAAAGATTCAAAGTTTTGGTCTTTACTATTTCTTTCCCTCAGTGTTGCCTCCTTCATATTTCATCCGTTAAGGTCTTACTCTTTCGCGGTAGCTGGTTCTAGGTTGATAAAAAGGATCCGCCTGATGTGTTTTGAGAAAATAATTCACATGGAAATGGGCTGGTTTGATAAAGATGAAAATTCATGTGGAACACTTGGAGCAAGGCTGTCAACTGATGCAGTTTCTATTCGAACATTGGTCGGGGATGCTCTAGGTTTGCTTGTTCAGGATATTGCTACAACAACTACAGCATTGGCAATTGCCTTTGCGGCAAACTGGCAGCTTTCCCTCATTGTTGTTTTCTTAGTACCTCTCTTATTACTGAATGGATATGTTCAAATGAAGTCAATGCAAGGATTCCGAACTGAAGCAAAGGTTTGTGACTCATTAACGTCATACTGGTACGACCTATGAAGGTCGGACATGCCTCACAAATAGTGTGTTTCGTGCATTTTCGGAATCTTTATTTTCGGACAATGCCTCAGAACCCTCCATAAATCTTTGCCTAGTTATAATTTTCTCATTTTCTGTTTCCATGTTTAATTATTACTATTTCTGAATTTCTGTTTTAGCAATGTTATAATGCTTTATATGTTCCACAGAAACTGTACGAGGAAGCAAGTCAAGTAGCAAATGATGCAGTAGGGAATATAAGAACAGTTGCCGCTTTCTGTGCTGAAGAGAAGGTGATGGAATTATACCAGAAGAAATGTGTAGGGCCAATCCAGACAAGTATAAGGCAAGGTTTAGTCAGCGGAACAGGTTTCGGTTTATCACTCTTCTTTCTGTTTTCAGTTAACGCCTGCAGCTTTTATGCTGGAGCAAGACTCGTTCAGAATGGCAAAGCGTCATCATCAGATGTTTTCCGTGTAAGTTATTGTCTTGTTCTTCTGTATTTTTCGCCATCTCAGTTTTGATAGTTTTTAATCATATCTCAAAATCTCAAATAAACTTAAAATGGTATATTTAAGTTTATAAATTAGTATTATCTAAATAAAACAAAAATATGTAATTTAATCTGGCAATGAAAATTAATTTCCTAATTTTCAGGTATTTTATGCCCTCATGATGGCAGCTATAGCAATGTCACAATCTAGTTTCATGGCTCCAGCTGCTAGTAAAGGAAAAAGCTCCGTTGCTTCTGTATTTGCCATTCTTAATCAGAAATCAAGAATAGATCCCAGCGATGAGTCCGGAATGACATTGGAAGAAGTGAAGGGAGAGATTGAGTACAGTCATGTCACTTTCAAGTATCCAACCAGGCCAAATGTTGTTGTACTCAAAGATTTTTCCTTGACCATTCAAGCCGGAGAGGTAACTAGCAAACGAATTATTTTGTTTGTTTGATGCTTAATTCTCATCATAAGAACACGTGATTGTTTTGGAAAACCTTTCTTAATGAAGAAATTAAGTGTTTGATTATGGTGATGGAAACCAGACAGTTGCTCTAGTTGGTGAAAGTGGAAGTGGAAAGTCAACAGCGATCTCATTATTACAAAGATTTTACGAACCAGAATCAGGTCAGATTACAGTGGATGGAACAGAAATCCAAAAGCTAAAACTTAGATGGTTTAGGCAGCAGATGGGTCTGGTAAGCCAGGAGCCTGTGTTGTTTAATGATACCATTCGAGCCAATATTGCATATGGAAAAGGTGGTGATGCAACAGAAGCTGAAATTATAGCTGCAGCAGAATTGGCAAATGCACACAAGTTCATTAGCAGTTTGCAGCAGGTACCTTACACAGTATATGTTACAATTTTGAATAATTAGCCATTATCTAAACAGCGTATGAATAAGTATGCAGGGCTATGATACATTGGTGGGAGAGAGAGGGATTCAACTATCTGGAGGGCAGAAGCAGCGGGTGGCAATTGCAAGAGCCATAATGAAGAATCCAAAAATATTACTACTAGATGAAGCCACAAGTGCACTTGATGCCGAGTCTGAAAGAGTGGTCCAGGATGCACTTGATCGAGTGAGGTTGGACAGAACCACCATTGTGGTGGCTCATAGGCTATCATCCATAAAGGATGCAGATTCAATTGCAGTGCTTAAAAATGGAGTCATTGAAGAGAAAGGAAAGCATGAGACCTTGATTAACAAATGTGGTACATATGCTTCTTTAGTTGCACTGCATATCACTGTTGCTTCATCATAGACCCTTTTACTTCATTCCACCAATTATCTTATAGCTTGTTAAATATTTGCTTTATGTATTTCTCATTCTGTTTTTGCTCTCCCAATAATTATAATTATAGTTGCACTGCATTTGCTTCGTCATACTATTCTCTTTATAATTTAAGCCTTTTATTATTAAAATAATATATAGTCTTCTCTTTCTAATTTAAACCTTTTAATATTAAAATAATATAGTATTCTCTTTTTATAAAAATCATCATTACTCTTAGGTCATTTTATAAGTTCTCACTTACCACCGTTTGGTTTGCCATCCTAAATTTTTTTCTTAATTTATGTTGTGTAGAAGTGAATTATAAAAATTCAATTAAAAATTATAAATATTAAAAATAATAATTTGAGAAATATAAGGTAAATTTTGAAAAATACACCATTAAATTAGAAGTCCTAAAATACTTTAATGGAAGAAGGAATGACATTTAAAAATGAAATATTATTACTTAATACAACTAGCTAAGTTTCAATATATGACTGATTATTGTTTTGAGTCACCAATTGTTCTTTTAATGAATACTTAACGAGTTAAACATTTTGGTTTTATATTTATGTCAATTTCTAATATACATATGTATCCGTTAAATTGATAAAAGGGTCACACGACTATGATAACAAAGAATGATGTTCATCTCGTTTTTTCGTATTATCTTCTAACAAAATAGATCACTGTATAATGAAATTTGATTTTATAAAAAAAAATTAAGTTTTGAGAATAAAAGAGAAGTTTAAAATATTTAAGAAGAACCACCATAATAAAAAGTTTAAATATTAATAAATACGTTTTTGGTATTTAAAACAATTTTTTTAATTTATTAGATGTCTATTTTGAAATAAAAAAAAATGAGTCCTCGAAAAAATTATTCGATCCTCAAAAGAAATATTGAATCGTCAAAATAAAGTCAGTCAGGACATGCATATTATTTAAACCATATAAATATTCTAATTACATAAACATAATGGTCTTTTTCTAAATACTAGTGAAAATTAAATGTTGCATTCTTCTATAAACTAATTTGTATCGAAATTTTCTCGAAATATGTTACAGGAAATAATTTATTTATTTGATGCTTGGGATGTTTTACGATAATTAGTTTTTCTGAATGCGTTGGGAAAACAAAATTCGGTAATATAGATAATTTAATAGTGATATATGCCTATTTCTCTTTTTGGTTAAATTATTAAATTCTGTTCATTCATTAACTTCAAAAATAGAATTTCTATATCAATGCACTTCTAATTATTTTTTATATTATTATAAGCAGAACTTGGTGAATAAAATATGAAATGGAAATTTTTTGTTAAATTAAGTGTCTAAGTTTATGTGAAGTTAATATAAGCAAAATTAGATGTTCAGCAGTGCCGTCTTAGCTCAGCGGTAGAGCGCGTGGCTTTTAACCACGTGGTCGTGGGTTCGATCCCCACAGACGGCGATTTTACTTTTAACAACTATGTTTTGTTAATTTAATTTTTCTTTCATATATTTTCATGTAATAATAGTGATGTTTGACGCGAGATTTATTAAAAAAGAAAACATAGCTAAATTTATAAACTATATTTTAATTGATTTTATTAACTATCTTTTTATATATAATTTTTTTATACAAATTGTAGTTAAACTTATAATTTGAATAGGATTGAAAAATAGTTTCGGAGTGCTTTAAAATGTCTTTTAGAAATGATATATAAATTACTCTTGGGATTAGACATGATTAATTTTATAAGAATAATTTAAAATTTAAGGATATAAAATTAGAAAAAAAAAGTGGTATAAAATGAGAGGATGGTGTTATTTTAATAAGAAATAACACCAGAATTTGAGACATTTTCTTCATGAAATGGAATTTTTTAATAAAAATTAAATTAAAAACATGTAAATTTATGTATTTAAAACTTAATTAAACTTGAATATCATTTATCCTAATATTATGAAAAATGCATCAATTGTTATCATAATAAATATTTAGAAATAAAAAAAATTGAACCGAAATATTTAACTTATGAGATACGTGAGAAAAATATATTTAGTAGTAAAAATTGATTTTTCAAGGAAAAAATAGAAAAACTTTATATACAAATTAACAAGTTGGTAATGTGAGTGAAATCAGGTTTAACTCTTAAATATAAGAAATTGAATTTAAGTTTTACAGATAAAAAAAATAGTCCCATAAAAATAGTTCATTAGTTTTTTTCTGAAAAAAATAATTATCCAGAAATTGACTAGAAAACCTTTTCACACTGCAATAGTCATATTAGGGTGACGGAGTAACCTGACCGTTTAATCTCAGCCCGTTTGTTCATTATCAGTGTACACACTATTAGCTGCACTAATTTTAGAAAACACTCGTTATGGAGCAACACAAGATCTCCAGTACAAGATCTTCAGTGTGGCCGACCACACTGTTGCAGTAGTGGCTCATTTGGGTGTAAATTTTGCACAATAGATATATATTAGCAAGTTGAATTCTTCAGATATTGACATTGATGAATAAGAGGATTTTAATGTGGCAGCATATGATTTCTTAGCTCAGAATTTATATATTAGAATACATGGCATTTTGGAGAACACATCATAGATATACTTTTGGATTTCATTCTAATTTTAAATTTGGCATTGAGTTACAAATGAAAGTTCTTACTGCGTTACCACTGAAGTGCACAACAGTCTTGCAGAGGTTTTTCAGTGGTGTTTGCAAGTTGAAAACCAAGAGGAGTTTTCCTTGGATGCAGATATGACTTCAACTGAGATGATAGCAACAAGTGATCAAACACTAGTTCAAGGGTCCAAAAATACAACATAAAAGATGGTTGACATGATGCAGGATTCCAAGGAAAACAAGGTGAAGAATGAAATCAACAAAACAGTACCCTTTTACAAACTTTTCTCATTTGCAGACTCTCTGGATTGTCTTCTGATGCTTGTTGGGGCAATAAGTGCTGTTGCTAATGGAATCTGTACTCCTTCACTGGCTATATTTGTTGGAGATGCGATTGATGCCTTGGGAGGACATGTTGATAATAAACAAGTACTTCATGAAGTTTCTAAGGTAATCCGTAGATCCTGTTCATTAATAATCAATGCTGTGAAATATCTATCGGAAAGAAACTATGAAAATAGGGTGAGAGGAATGATTTGAAAACTTGCTAGAAAAAACAACAGAAAAAGGTTGTAGGACTGAACAGAGCAAGCATAAAAACGAAAAGGAGAAAGGAGAAAGGAGAAAAATACTGATATCAAATAAGCTTCTTACTAGCATATAACTGTCTTTGCATGAATTAAGTTTCAAAGCAAAAATTTAGACTTGAAATTCTGCTTAGTTTCATGTCACAACCTTTCGAGTTTCGTTTCATCCTCAGGTGTCTCTGAAGATTGCATCCATAGGCGCAGGTGCCTTTTTAGCAGCATTCTTGCGTAAGCATGCCAAATTCTCAGCTGATTGTTCTTACTGTAAAGATAGAAAAAAAATTTAATAAAAATATAGCAAGAGTTACTCAGTGACACATTCTTCAATTTTGCAGAGGTGTCTTGCTGGGTGATCACTGGGGAGAGACAAGCTGCAAGAATAAGAGGCTTATACCTCAAAGCAATTTTGAGGCAAGATATCAGCTTCTTTGACAAGGAAACCAACAGTGGAGAGGTTGTTGGAAGGATGTCAGGGGACACATTTCTTATTCAAGAAGCCATGGGAGAGAAGGTATTAATGGACCACTCTTCAAATCCAAAATCATCACAATCTCATCAAACTATTATTGGAGTTAACTTTTTCGTTCTCTTTTTGGGTGATATCTCAGGTAGGAAAGTTCATACAGAGTGTGTCAAGTTTTCTAGGAGCCATAACCTTAGCCTTCACCAAGGGTTGGCTTCTGAGCCTTGTCCTTCTATCTTCTGTTCCTCTTCTTGTCCTCTCCGGTTCCATGATGAGCTTAGCTTTTGCAAAGATGGCATCTCGAGGACAAGCAGCTTATTCTGAGGCAGCAACTGTAGTGGAGCAGACAATTGGTTCAATTCGAACTGTATGTTTACATTCAGAATATACCTTATTTTGCTTTTATTTTCCTCGCTACAAGAGGGTAATACATGCATTATTCCCTTGCAGGTTGCGTCATTTACAGGTGAGAAGCAAGCTGTAGCTCAATACAATCGATACTTAACTAAAGCTTACAGAATTGGAGTTCAAGAGGGTGTTGTGAGTGGTTTTGGCTTGGGTTTAATGCATTTATTTTCAATCTGTACTTACGGTTTGGCAACATGGTTTGGAGGGAAGATGGTATCAGAGAAAGGTTACTCAGGAGGACAAGTCATTGGTGTGTTTTGGGCAATAACGTCTGGTTGTTTGTACGTTATCTTCTCTGCTTTACCTTCTATATTGTGGATCCATCAATCAATATCTTTCAACCTCTGCTCCAAGCTTGGCTGGCAAATGTGATAACATTTTCTGGTATAATTTTATGTTGCAGGCGTCTGGGGCAGGCATCTCCAAGCTTAAAAGCATTTTCTGCAGGAAAAGCTGCTGCCTTTAAAATGTTTGCAACAATAAAGAGGCAGCCAGATATTGATGCTTATGACTCTTCTGGTCAACGACTAGATGACATATCAGGAGATATAGAACTTAGGGAGGTTTGCTTTAGTTATCCTTCGAGACCTGATGAACAGATATTCGATAGATTTTCAATTTCAATATCAAGTGGCACTACTGCAGCATTGGTAGGGCAAAGTGGCAGTGGGAAATCAACAGTTATTAGTTTGATTGAAAGATTTTATGATCCGAAAGCCGGTGAAGTTCTCATTGACGGCATCAACCTTAGAAAATTTCAATTGAAATGGATCAGACAGAAAATAGGCCTTGTCAGCCAGGAACCAGTCCTTTTTACTGGTAGCATTAAAGAAAATATTGCCTATGGTAAGGATTGGGCAACAGATGAAGAAATCAGAGCTGCAGCTGAACTTGCTAATGCTATTAAGTTCATTGATGAATTTCCACATGTGAGCTCACAATTCATCTTTCAACTTCTTAAAATTTGCTGTATTCATTAAGAGGAATGTTT